GGCGAAGTGTCGAGGAAAATCTGGAAATACGACCTCCCCCCTCTCCCTCCGCCGGAGGCCGCGAAGTCCATGAAACACCCCTCCTCAAAAGCCGAACTTTGAAAAGGTTGTTTAATTCTCCCCCAAAACTGTTCATAAAAAAGGCCTATTACCCCACCGTCCAACGAAAAATTTGTTTAAGAAGTACAAAAGTGAAAAAGTCAAAGTATGATCATTAATGATGAGTACTACCGAACGAGCAAACGAGAAAAGGAGCAAAAAACGACAAACTAGTCATTAAAAATGGCATACTATGACAACATCTATTCTTCATTTATTTCCTCCACAAGACTTACCAAATTCTAGTACCACACAGATTATGGTTCTCGATTTACACGTCCCCCTTTCGCTAAAAGGAGGGTACCACCCAGGAGGACCGCCGCGCGGCAATATGCCGATTCGGCGGACGAGTTGCGCGCGTATTAGGGAAATCGCGTCAAGTTAAATAGAACGTCCCATTGCCACATCAAGCGCCGCGACTCGTCCGCCGACTCGGCCTTCTTGCCGCGCGATGCGCCTCCTGGGGGGTACCCCTAAAAGGAAGCCTTGTAAAAGCCTTCGCCAGCTGTGTGTTGACTGGACTTTGGCGTTGACCGTGGAGCAGCTTATTTACTATTAAATCGAACAAATATTCAACTGATTATAACTTTCTTCAAATATGACGAATTTTCAATCTGAAAGAAGATTTGGGAGTTTTGTGAAGAGCTTTTTCTAATCAGTACTGAAATTACAGGAAGTTATGAGAAATTACAATTTAGATTAATCGAGGAAAATTCGAGACGAGTGCGAGTTTTCACACTTTCCGAAGCAATAACTCGCTTCATTTCCGTCAAATTCGAAAAGTTTATTTTTCTCTACCGAACCGTTGCTTAAGCAGCTTTATACGTTCAAAATTTAAAAAATGGCCACGTTGAGGATTTTTGCAAAACTAACGAGGAAAATTCGTGATGGGTGCGAGTTTTTTCACTTTCTGAAGTCATAACTTCGTACAAGCTGCCCGAATCCGAAAAGTAAATACGCCATCATAAACTAGAAGATTTGCTCTATCGAAAGCTTTCTAGAACTGCTCTAAACGTTCAGTATTAAAAAAATGGCCACGTTGAGGATTTTGGCCCGAGTACCGCCGAAAGGTACTTTTTTCGCTGCACTGGCACTATTCCAGCGACCATAGATCCTTTTAACGGCGATTATGTACTAAAGTAAGAGCAGATTCGGAATCACTGTTTTTCTCTTCTCAAAAAAGTAAAATTGTTTAGCGTTTCTCAACTTTAAAGGTTACATGTTTATGAATTTAACCCTGAAGAGTGCGTTAATGCAATGTTGAATGGTGTACACCTCCCCGTATTGCGCACGGACACCTTCAGAATCCTCTCGACTTTTCCTGAATCGAGATTGTTTGTCCAAGGAGCCGTAGTTGAAGCGCGCGCAACAACTGGACCCACTCTGGGATACGCCGTGTACTGCACATCCTTTCAGATTCGAGGACCCACTTAAAAGATAAAATATCCCTTGGAAAGCGTGCAAATTCTAGATTCTTCAACTTGTGTGGTGCTAAAACTTTGAAGTAACTAAGAACTACTACGCGGACGCCTCAGAGTCACGAAAATTTTGTGTGGGTGAAATATCATTTTCATTGGAAATCCTCTGGCATGTCATCGACTCGATCCTTGATCTTTGTCCTCCGCCGGTGATGATCCCACTGCATCAAACCGGACCGATCTCTTCCACCCAGCGGGCCGATACGACTCCCCCCCTGCGACGCGTCGAGGATTCCTCAACGCACGCTTGACCCTGGTCCTATGCCTAATACCTTTGGAAGTTTCCTAGTCTAGTGAAATAGTCTGAGTTTTCTGTTGAGGCGTTTTAGCGAACAATTTACATATGCTTTTGATCATTCCACGCTCTGGGGAAGGCGAAGAAGTTGAAACATAAGCAGTCTCCATGTTCGATTATCCATTATCTTTGACTTACTTCCGGCTCTGACGACGGCGACACGGCTGAAACGTTAGCCAGTATAGTGATTATATCATCTTGGTGTCGGCTACAGAAGCAACCCTACCAGTGAAGCATAGGCCTTGTATGAAAAGTTCAATCTTGAAAATCTTGAAGAATCATTTCCACTGAGCTTTGAAAGGCAATCTGAATTTCGTGCTCTCCGGAATGATAACGCGCTGAAAAGTGATTGGAGTTTCACGATCAACTCTGCTTCTTCTCTCCTCGAGTGAACTACAAAGGGGTAACATACACCCTGTCTGAGGCGACTGATTTATATTAGCGCATTATAGGAGCATGTTGGAAGATAGGGTTCCTCGAAGTGAAATGAAATCGGATTGAAGATAGTACGATGCTGCTCTTGGTAATATTAGGTTGTCTCACAAATAGTGTCGCTTTTTCTCATCCAAAAAATTTTCATCTAAATCCCCATGCTTTTACATCTTGTCATATACCACTCGAAAGAGAATTGCCTGCTCTACCAAATGCTATGTCCCACTTCCACAGTTGTTTCAGGGTTTTCAAATTTTAGGCCTGCGAAATGGGAGGTCCAGCCGACAAAAATTGACCAAACCGACAACTATCACTATCCTTAAAGCGAGAGATTGCGATAGGATTCTGTTGTGCTCATAGTGGAAGTGAAGATGCTGAATAAATTGCCCTAGTAGCGAAAAAAGCAAAGAAATCCGTCAAAAACGCGCAAAATGGGACCACTTCCTCTGCCCGTTGACCTCCGATAATGGACGAGTTGGCAACCAGAGGTCGTCGGCACTCGTTAAACCATAGCTGCCATCATACCACCAGAGATCATACCTTGATTGATGTAGCATTCCATGAGAAAAAAATTGGATACGCTCTCGAAGTGGCATACCTTATCAAAATGAGAATCGAACAGCGATCTGCTGAGGGGCGGAGCACAGGCGGAGGCGGAGCTCAGAAAAGATTGGCAGCCCCAGGGCGCTGCAACGAGCGCACCTTTAGTCACAAAAAGGCCACATCTCGATTCCTTCGGGCTCTAGCTACTGCTTGAAGTGCTGCTCGTTCTTCCATGCTGCACAGAAATTTTATCGTAATTTCTCGCTTTAACTTCCCTTGGGAGAAATCAATCAATGATGTACCCTCTACTTATAGACGACCTTTTCTAAACATTACACAATTAAGTTTCCCAACAAGTCGCGTCATTCCAGTCCCGGACCTGGTTTTTCAATCAGAACTCGACGGTCGAGATCCATTAGATGAGATCTAGGTCGAATTTTTTTCATAGCCGAGACATTGAAAAACTAGTAGAATTTAAAGAACAATTCATGACTAAGTTAGGAATGTACGCCTGGTTGATTTTCTCATCTTCTCAGGGATAATTTTTTTTCAAGGAAATGCGGTCACTTCCGCGACAATGCACCTTATTCCTAAACACCTAAAATTCGAAGTAGTTCTCAACAAATATAAAAACAAAACAGATGAGCGAATAGAGCAAAAGAAGTGCTCGCGAAAGGATCACCACTCCATATGAAACAAAGCCGTTTACGAGGAACGATTTCAATTTGAAAATTGCTGTGGCTTATCGGTCAGCCAATTTGAAAAGAAACACGGCAAAGCTTTTTCGGCAAACTAAGAGTGGAATGTTTAGAAGAGGTCATGGGTAAGTGGAGGGTACGTCATTGATTGATTTCTGTCAAGAGAAGATAAAGTTAGAGTTAGTTGTCGGTTTGGTCAAATTTTGTCGGCTGGACCTCCCAGTTTGCAGGCCTAAAATTTGAAAATCCTGAAACAGAGGAGGAAGCGAAACATAGCACTTTGTAGAGCAGACAGTTCTCTTTCGAATGGTATATAACACGATGTAAAAGCATGGGAATTCAGATGAAATTTTTTTGGTTGGAAAAAAAGGGACACTATTTACGAGACAACCTAATACATTGGAAGGGGGGACGTTGAGTTTTTTGGAGTCCCACTGCGCTGTAATTGGCTCACCATTCGCCGCGAAATCATCAATGCTTGCGTCCGTCACTGCCTGGTTACTTCTTTCAGATGTGCACATGTTTCACCGGTGAACATCCACTTCGTCTTGATCACTGCCTTTAAACGCGTTTTCCAGGAACAGATTGTTGTGGTTCTTCCACACGTACACGAATGTACTAAAGCAAAAGACGAAAAGAAATCCTTAAAATGTTAGGGCTGGGGGCTTGTATGCACCCTCGCAATCGGCTTTGCTGAAGGAGCAAGCGCGACGAGGAGAGTACGAGAAAAGAGCGCAACATATGAGAGGGCGCCAGACAGCAGCCTGATAGAAGAAAAAAAACTGCAGCTGTAGCAGTTTACTTCCCAAGGCTCTAGCGCTGTTGTCGGGTGATTTCGCACGCAGTGCCACATCTGTTGTTGTCCTCTAGGTCCATCCTGTAGCAAGATGGGAATCGCTGACACGACTTCCGCCTGGGTTGTGCCTTTGAGCTCGAGAGAAATGTCTTAAAAGATAGAATCGTCCAGGATCGACCTTCTTTTAATCTTGGCATATTTTGATCAGATGAGTGCTTGATTGTAGCCGTCCAAGATTAGTTAACTTTATTAGGCCAACGTTTCAGCAACTTCGCCTTCGTCAGAGCCTTAATGTGCCACGTTGCCGAAACGTTGGCCTAACCAAGTTAACTAATCTTGGACGGCTACAATCAAGCACTCATCTTAAAAAATAGTTTTCTCGAAAGATAAAAGAGAGGCAAAGGAGTAGGGTTTCTTATAAAGCCCTCATTGTGTGGAGGAGACGAAGGTGCTCGTTCGATTACAGCTTTTCGTAACGCGATGACCTGCGCTAGCGCGCTCTTCCCTACAATCTTCAGCGCACCACTTATCATCACTCGCACCGATATTGTGTACAGTATCAGAGCTCGTATAATAGGACAGCCTCGTTCCAGGATATATCTACAAAGTGGAAGACTGAAAATGTAAGCAGTCTGAATTACAAATTTGCAGCATGTCCGATGAGTGGTTCGGAAGCTTCAAGTGTGAGCTGCAGTATCGGCGGCAAGACTTGCCAGGCTGGCGAGTACTGTGATAAAATAGGATGTTGTGGTAGGTAACTTTTGATGGATTGCATTAAAATCCCATGCCAGTCGGTGGGTACTCAAGCGAGGACTAAACCACAAAAGGGCTCTCTATGTATAAAATTTAGCCTGCTGAAGATAGTGTTTTGTCGGTCGCCGTTTTCGGACCACCAAAACCGAAATCCTTGCCGTTCGTAGAAAACTATTGAGATGAAAAAAACCTACAGCATGCCCTACATAATACTCTATACTTGCCTTGGCATGTTTTCTGAACTTACTAGAAGTACTGAAAATTAGTATGAGAGCACTTGAACAACCCTGCGCTCACTGATATCAGTTGAATTCGAAGGTTAGGCATAGCTCGTCGGGTGCGACTTGGGAAATTAGGATAGTACGACAGGATATTAGCAGGGCAGCAGTAGAGTAGGATCCAACTGGGAGGATCGGATGTTCTCGAGATTGCTGGAGAATACCGGGATAGGCGTCGAGACGTCGAGATCGATCGAGACGCATCTAATCATTTCAACGCATTATCCTGACGTACTTCCCTAATCTCCTACCTACTGTAATCCTAATCTCGTGTTCCACTACACTCCAGCGATTTCAATGAATACGTATCTACTTTTTCCAGCAGACTATCCTAGTCTACGGAGTGGCTACTAATTGCGGTAGGAAGGCATACAATTTTGAAATAAAGAATGAAGTTTGAATGCAGCACTTGTTGTTCAGTTCTATTATATTAGGGTGGTAAAAAAGTCCTGAGCCGTTTGACACTTTTTTGTTCTTTGCTTTTTTATTCCGCGTACAATGGAATCTACTGAACAATATAATCACCATTGTTACCCACTGCAGTGTCCCACCTAATGAGTAGGTCAGCGACCCCCTTCTCCCAGAACTGAGCAGACTGAGAGTCAAAGAAATCGCTGAACGCTCCTTCAACGTCTTCAATTTTGGTGAATTTTTTCTTCGCTAGGAATGCCCTAAGGGGATGAAATAAGTGATAATCAGAGAGGGCAATATCAGGGGAATAGGGTGGGTGGGGAACCGCGTCCCAGACCAGCTCCTCTAGTTTTGCACGGGTCTCTTTAGCTATGTGGGGCCTGGCGTCATCGTGGAGTAGGTGGATAGAAGTTCGTCTAGCTCGTTTTTCTTGAACAGCGTCCGCTAGTTTCTGGAGCTGACTGGCGTAAATGCTGCCAGTAGCGGTATGTCTTTACGTGAGCATCTCATAATACAACATTCCTCACGAATCGCAGAGGTAGTAAAGAAGAAAGCTTTTGGGGTAAAGGTACGATTTAGCTTGCGTCGGCGGGTCTACTCCTCGAGGTAGCCACACCTCACTGTGCTTGTTAGAATCGTAGAGGACCCCACCCCCACCTTCCGTAATCATGCCTTCCAGAAACGCTTTCAGTGCGGACAAAGAAGGAGAAACTAAGAAATGGGTAACCGATTGAACCGCGTGTTATCGGCCAAGACATGAGGGATTCATCGAGTCGGCACTTTCCTGTGGCGAAGGCGTGGAGGGGACCGAGGACAGTGGGATGGGTGCACCCGAGTCTTGTCACAAGGCTGTGGGTGCTACCCTCCGGATCCTCTTCGACATCGTCGAGAACGGTGAAGTCTCCCACTGTTTGGGGGCTCTCCAACCTTGACTTGTTTTTGAGAAGCCGTGTCTCCTCCTTCGAAGCCTGCGAACCAGAGCTTGGCACCGATGATGAAATTGGTGTCCCTTCTCAATGCGATGCTGATAACGTTGAAGGTTCCCACTGCTCCTGTGCCGCAGCGCCATTCAGGGGAAGCGATCGCCTCGAAAGTGCTCTTGAGGACATTCGACTTCACGATTGACGTTTAAGAAGGCAACCTGGCTACAGATACCTACTGCGAAGAAGAATGATCGACAGTGATAATCTATCACGTAGCAGATTCTAGGTATCAGTCAATAAGCGAAAGTTCTAGAGCTTTCAAAAAATCGGCTCAGGACTTTCTTACCATCCTAATACGATGTCCATTCCTTAATTTTGCCACTCAGAATTATTGGACTTGAGATGTTAAGACCACCGGTTTTTCTTATGAAATAATGAGTCAATTATTTCGTGAAGGTGTCTGAAGGTGTTACGTTGGAAAGCAAATCAGGACCTTTAGCGACCTTGCAAGAACTACCTCTGCAAAGACTAGTTGGGAAGAGAATCCTCAATTTGTCAGTAATTTTCATTGTGCCTCAGGATCTTCCTTCCTCCTTCGTTCTAGGCTTTTGCGTCAGTGGACGACAATTTGTACCGCTAATTCCAGAGTCCTTCCCTTCAGAATCATCAGATCACAATGGTCCAGCACAAAAATCCGCTCACCGTACAAAAAGCCAAAAGAATGAAGCAGTTGCAACTTCCAAGGACCTGAGTAACATTTGGACTGCGCCTCAATGCCCTTTCTCCTCCCCCGCTCCCCTTTACTCACATACATAGATCCATCAAGTTCACTAGCGTTCCACGCGTGCTCACTCAATGAGATTTTAGTCGGCCTGCTATACATTACGCAAGTTCTTTCTTTTCTATTTTAGAACGACGGTACTGTGCAGGCGGGCATACGCTTCCTGTGGACAATCCTAACACTTCAGACAAGCTGGAGCTCAGGTGAGAATTTTCCCATTCGAAAATATTGATTTCCCTTTGATTTTCGCTTTTCCTTCAGATACAGTATTTCGGCTCTTTCAGTACATGTAGCAGCAATCAGCAATGCGAGCAACTTCATAACGATTCGTACTGCTCAGCTCTAGAAAAGGGAGACAAAAAATTTTGCTGTCGTGCGTTTTTACTTCTCTTCTCTGCAATGTTTTGCAACTAACTTGCTTCACTCACAGGCAGAGTCAACCCTACGTTGTTACTAGTAACAACGGAGGGGTCGTACCTGGTTGAGTTTATAGGAGGGGGAAGTCGCACCCGCTTCAGTTGCTCGAAATCACATGTGAGTTCGGGATGAAAGTGAAGTTTTCATGAGTGGTGGGCTGGGCGAGTTGGGCACGTAGGAAAAAAAATGCCATTTCAGTGTGCGTATATACCCCCATAGAAAATGAAGGAGTGGGGGTATAGGTAAAACTGAGTAAAAGTATAGGGAAAATGGTGGAAGTATAGGAAATTTTCGAATTTTCAAAAAAGTCACAACGATAGGGTCGACCCTGATCACAGGTCAGACTACACCTTGTTTCATTCCCCTGAGTTAACGTATGGGGAGCCCATCATAAGTTTTCCCCTCTCTCTATGAACTTGAACTGGTTGCACTGTGCCTACCAGGTTTTACTTTAATGTGAGTAGGTGAATGTTGAGGCGGAGACCCAGGTATTCTGATGTAGACTTCGTGAATGTTGTGATCCGAAAGGCTAATCGTCAACCCGTTTATTGGAATGAGGGTGCATTTTCCCAGAATGATTCATTACAAGAATCCCCACTAATTACTAAAGGCACGAGTCAGGATTGAATTGATGCGTTATTTTGTTCGAACACTAGACAGGAGGCGCATAAGGAACATTAGTGAGGAGAAAAAGCAGAAAGCACCATAGAAAACTCTAAATTTCCCTTATGAAGCCGTAGTACGACGGAGAGACACAGCGCTGCGAGGAGAGTGAGAACGCGAGATAGTACGTCATACGTGAGAGTCGCAGAGGCCACGTATGCTGTGGTGGATTATGCTGGCAGCGCGGCGGGCAAGGCCTTAACGCCATTGCCGCGCACTTTCAGGTCGCGATAGTGCTGGTTGCCTAATCCTGACTCGTGGCTTTAAAAGTTGCATTCAGTGCCAGAAACGTTGCAGCCAATGTCGAAAAATTTCGTAAACGATCAGACTAGTTTCGTTGGACCATGCAGCCAGTTTTGCTATTCTAAACCTCAGCCCGTCATTTTGGAATGGATCTTGTATATCTTGCAATCAATCTCGGGCGCTATTGCAATATTATAAAAAGGGGTGAGACGGGTAATATTTTTTGCTAAAACTGTTGCTATGAGGAATAAGGGGGTCATGATCGCGAACATGACAATCTCTGGCGTCGGCGCCATATTTCGGGTGACGCCACGAATGCTTTCCACCGAATTCGCTGTAAACTTCTCTATGTAGGTTAGTCGGGGCAATGTAGACTTATATGACATTCGCTTTGGTCGTTCAGCGTCTATCACGCCTCGTCTGCGCCCCCTCACCAACTACATCGCAATAAGGACTGAGTCTTGAAAGACTAGCGGGCTTTGAAAGATTAAGCCGGTAATCTCACACTTTGAGTTTTGCAACACGGTGCACGGTTTACTTGGCCCGGAGTCTCATTCTCTCCCCTGAGATCACCCTCTATAAGTAAATGCGTTCAGGAGGGCAGAAAGTATGCACTGAACAGCGCGAATGTCAAAAACAAATTTTGCAACCACGACACCAAATATCCCCTTTGTAGCCCACTACGTGTTTACACCAAATTCGGTGAAAAAGCGTGACAGGGTGGGCCAGCTGTCGCCAGAAGGCGCCAACGGTTAAAGTGGACGTCATGTCCGTAATTAGGGCCCCACATGTTCTGACACACAAAACTCAGCGAATTTTAAGAGAAGTAGTCGTGGCGCCACCTGAAGCCAAATGGCACCATTTAGCGCCAGCGCCAAAAATGTATAATTTCGTGATCAGGACTCGCTAACACTCTGTGGGTTGGAGCATAATATCGTAACGCTTGCATTTTCCATTTCTTCACCCAAAAGTTTGAAGCAAAAAATAAAAACATAAAACTAGTCAGTGATGTGATGTTCACTTCGTCATTATTTACAACTTTGATTGCATTTCGCAAGAGATCACCGGCTATAGAATCTAGAAGAATTTTGAGCTCGTTTTCAGAATCCTTGTCATTCTCAGTTTTTAAAGTGAATACGGTTTCAATTTGGGCGGAAAAGGTAGGGTCGTTTATCCAAGTTCGATGGGAACAATGGATTTGGCAGAACTTCCAATTTGGCGTTTTTCTTCTTTATATGAACGGAGGTATAGTAGCTGTTGAGCCAATTTTAGTCGTTTCGATTTTTCAAACTCGAAGCTCTAAGCATAGGTACAGCTACAATTTTGGAGGAAATGGCATCTACGGGATTTGTTGAGCGGGAAGAGTGCTTTCAACTAATATGGACGTTTTTTCGGGTGATGTTTGTTGCACTGATTGGATTCATCTGATCGAAAAAACGTTAGATATCATGTTCTATCCTAACATGATGTTATGTATTAGATCATGATATAGAGTATTAATTATGTATGTATATGCGTGTGTATGTATGATGTATGTATCATTGCCGTGTGCATTAGAGTATTATAGTAACTGGCGTTAGTAGTAGATATAGTAGTATGATAGTGAAGTATTAGTAGTATGTATGGAAGTAGTATTATGTAATAGTATGTTAATGTATGTATGTATTATGTATGTATTATATGTATGTATAGTTATATTGTATGTATGTTACTTTGTATGTGCAGTGATGATGATATGTATGTATGTAATGTATGTAAGATGTATGTATAAGTATCTGCGTGGTATAAAGCTATATGCTAGTAAGTAAGTGCGGGTATGACGTAGTAGTAGATCTGCTTTATGTATGTATGGAGTATTATGTCGTTGTAGGATTATGCTAGTATTAATGTAGCGGTTGTATTAGTCATGTATTGCGTGTTAATGTATGTAGTATGTAGTCGTGTGTATGTATGTATGTAGTAGTAGTGCGTGTGTAGTATGTATTATTATAATGGCGTGGTAGTATTATGATTATTATATTGCTGTAGAGATGTATTAGTATTGGCCGGATAATATGTATTATATGTAGCGGTATTATGTATCATGTATGATGCGTGTGTATGTATTATGAGTAAGTCGTGCGGTGTAATTATTATTAGTGCGTGTAGTATGAGTATGTTAGTATGATGCTATTTAGTATTAGATATGTATATAGATTAGAATGTAGTTGTAGATGCGTTGGTAGTAGTATTATGTATGTCGGTGATAGTAGTATATGATGATGTATGTGCGTGGTAGTAGTATGTAAAAATCTTGATGTAAATTATGAGTATGATATTCGTGGATTATTAGTATTATTATGTACTAGAGATGTATGTATGTATATGTATTATGTAGTAATTAGTAGCGTCATGATGCATTTTCGAATGCATGCAGGCAGGTTTTGGCTTGGCTCGGTGCGAACGAATCTATTACCAGAGTCAACCTGCGTTTCGCAGTTCGCAACAACAGCATATTGAGAGATTGATCAACGCACGCTGTATAGAGACGCAGACGGTTCAAGCATGCGAGTGTGAATGTTAGCGCGAGAGAACGTGTCTAATCGGGCGAAACTGTGCAACGTGGCCGTTGAAAACTGCGCAACACAGGGTTGTCTCTGCCTATTACACCTCAAAACGATGTCCAGATGCAACTCTTTCCTATTTTCAAAAGAGTTGGCGGGATATATTTTTATGCACGCCAGTGTTTGCATATAATTAGGCGTTAGCTTATAATGTTCGAAGGACCACCAAAGCAGACCAAGCAAATAAAAGAATTTTGAGATCAGACGGGACTGAGAAGGTCCCTCGAGACTCATTTGCTTGAGCTATCTATTGACTGCTGCATTCCACGACATTCGGCATGGTTTTGAGGCGTATCACCTGTTATAAAATAAAGTATAATGGCGGGTCTACATAAGTAAGAGTTAGAACTTGTACAACTTCTACTCCAGGAGCAACATGAATCGTTTCAGCCGTCCCGTACTCGAAGATGTTCAAAAACGATGGAGCTTTCCTTCTTCCTACCAAGGTTCTCGGTCAATATAAGGAACCTCCAAGCAAGCTGAAAAATGCACTTTCTGATGCGGGAGAACTCAGCAAGAAATGCGAGAAAAATTCGGAATGTGGAGATGAAGAGTTCTGTGACGAAGTGGTGCAACGATATGCAGAATACGAAAAAAACGTGAACAAACTTGAAAAATATGCTCCTAAGATATGCTTTCCAGGTGCGTTTCATTTATGTTATTGAATGTTTTTTTTTGATGCATTAACGTCGTCCGCAAACAAATGCACAGCCAGTTGCATTCCCCACTTTCGAAAATGTTGTGCAAAATACGTATGGCTTGTTCGGTTCATCTCGAATTTATATTACATCTGGCTCATCTGCTGGTCAATCACTTTGTTGACCTATCAGTGTTGAGTTGAGCCACGGATCTCTTTCACTGAGGGTCCTCTCTTACTGAAAAGATCTCGAGACGTCGTTTGGTGCCGAGGCTACGGGGGCGACGATCCCCTGGTGGCGGATAGGCCGCGTAAATCGCAGGACCAAGCAACACTGTACTTAGCCTGAGACGAGGGTGCGTTTTCACGGGGATGATTCTCTACTGCGCCCCCC